TGGACTATAGCCTACCAGGCTCCTCCATCCATGGGATTTTTCTAGGCAGAAATACTGGAGTGGGTTTCCATTTTCTTCTCCAGGGAATCTTCCCGACCCAGGGATCGACCCTGGGTCTCCCACATTGTAGGCAGACGCTTTACCATCTGAGCCATCAGGAAAGTCTTCACTCTAAACCAAGCAAGAAAATACAGTGATGTGGACATGGGTGGTGGCAGTGAAGTTGGAGAGAAGTGTGTGGATGTGGAGCTAGTGCTGGCATGACATGCTGATGGGTGAATTGTGGAGGGCAAGGCAAAGGGGGTCATAGTGGATGACTCCTCAGTGTTTGAGTTGAGCCGCTGGATGGATGATGATGCCATTAACCAAAATAGGGTAGACTGCGGGTTGAAATGTGGTACTGGTTTTTTGGGAGAAGGGAACAGATGGCACAAATGAATGAAGAGGGGTCTGGTGGTGACTATGGCAAATGGAGAGGAAGTCTGTTGTAGTTAAGACCGAGGACTCTAGAACCAGACTGCTTGGGCTTGAATGTCGTGTGCAAGTGGGCACCTCTCAGTTCAGTTCAGTCACTCAGTCATGTCCCACTCATTGCGACCCCTTGAATTTTAGCACACCAGGCTTCCCTGTCCTTCACCAACTCCCAGAGCTTGCTCAAACTCATGTCCATCGAGTTGGTGTTGCCATCCAACCATCTCATCCTTTGTCATCCCCTTCTCCTCCTGCCTTCAGTCTTTTCCAGGATCAATGTCTTTTCCAATGAGTCAGTTCTTCACATCAGGTGGCCAAAGTATTGGAGCTTCAGCACCAGTCCTTCCAATGTAAATTCAGAGTTGATTTCCATTAGGATTGACTGGTTTGATCTCTTTGCAGTCTGAGGAACTCTCAAGAGTCTTCTCCAACACCACAGTTCAAAAGCATTAATTCTTCAGCACTCACCTTTCTTTATGGCCCAACTTTCACATCCATACATGACTACTGGAAAAACCATAGCTTTGACTAGATGGACCTTTGTTGGCAAAGTAATGTCTCTGCTTTTTAATATGCTGTCTAGGCTGGTCATAGCTTTTCTTTCAAGGAGTAAGCACCTTTTAATTTCATGGCTGCAGTCACCATCTGCAGTGATTTTGGAACCCCCTCCCCCACAAAGAAAGTCTCTCACTGTCTCAATTGTTTCCCCATCTATTTGCCATGGAGTGATGGGACCAGATGCCATGATCTTAGTTTCCTGAGGCACATCTCAGTGCCTCCATTTCTCATTTTATAAAAAGAGGGTAATGGTGCCTACCTCATAGGGTTGTTTTGAGGGTTAAATTAGTTGATAGACATAAAGCCCTTAAAACAGTGTGTGACATGTAATAAGCCAGCATAAGTGTTATTTGCGATTGTTTTTATTGCTGTAAGAGAAGCATCTGTTATTCAACTCAGGTGGTTGCTTCCATGTGGCTGATTTTTTCATGAAAATCTGGAAATACATATTTATGTGTGAAATTCCTCAGTTTTAAGCATTTTCAAACACCCTGTAAGCCAAATAAAACATGTTTGTGATTGCCAAGTTAGGCTCATTAGCCCAGCTATGTGGTATTTTTCTGCAGTAATGTTCAGCTCCTTGGTTGTAGACATGGAGACTCAGGCAGGTGGTTGGAGTCAACTGTGAGTGAGGTTTCATTAGTTGAATATAAGAAGAAGGAGGATCCTTGGCTCAGAGTCTGCAGGGGTGATAGGTAATGACAGGCCTTGGCAACTTGGTAGCCGAGGAAGGAAATAAACATAGTGAGGGGAAGAGAGTGAGCTAAGAGGCAGAACATTAGTAAATCAGGGATCCGACCAGAAGGTTTGAAGACAACAGCACCAGGGAGCTGGAGCAGGAGCCAATGAATGAACTTCTAAGGATTCTGGGGATCTTGAGAGAGACTGGGCAGAAAAAAAGATACTTTTAAAGTTGCAGTAGGGAAGCAAGGGGGGATACTTTTTTCCTCTGGTCCTTGAGCTGTTTGGGATGGGAGAGAAAAGCGGCTCCCTCTGAGAGGACTTGAAGGGAAGTGATCATATCAGGTTTCCATGGAGGCCAGGAGGCACCAGTGCCTTTAGTGAAGAGATGGAGGATGTAGGAGCCACACGTCCCAGGCCTAGGAGAGAGTTTGGGGGGAAACGAGGGGTGAGGGTGTGGGGCAAATTAGGTGATGGTCATAGAAAGGTGGAAATGGAAGTCCTGGACTTATGTAGGTGGTGAGTAAGACAAGGCATCTGCTAGACATCTCTTTCAGTTACAAGGCTATTTCTTGACATGCTTTGCTGACAGTGTCTTCTGTCAGACTATGGGGATGACTGTGGTCCTCAGTGGACTCTGCTAGAGATTCTTCTTTCTTAGTGTGGTCACTCACAGGGTGTTATGTTACTGAGGTGCAGTTCGTAAAGTCTGCTCCAGTCAAATTGCAAATGCTTTTCTTGAAACAGGCTTCTATCCCTCCTTGTACACTTTTATGTATCAGGAAGTTTGGGATAGACAATCAAGAATAGAATCTTGGGACTTCCCTGGTGGTCCAGTGACTAGGACTCTGAGGTCCCAATGCAGAGGGGCCTGGGTTCGATCCCTGGTTGGGAAACTGGATCCCACATGCCACAACTAAAGATCCTGTGTGCCGCAACTAAGACCCAGCACAACCAAATAAACCAAACTTTAAACAAAGAATAAAATCTTTTAGGTCCTTATAATATTTGTTCTTTTAAATAGAGCTGAGATATTTTATAATAACTTAGTGGAGTATATAACCTTTAAAAATTGTAAATCACTACGTTGTACACCTATAATTTATACAATGTTGCACATCAACTATATCTCAATTAAAAAAAAAATCACAGACACACAAAATCGGGCCAAGATACAGACCTGAGCGAACCTGTTTGTTTCCCCTGAACTCAGTCATGGCATCTCTGAGTGCTCTATATTTAAAGGAACTTTCAAAGCAGAAAGTATTCTCTCTATGCTTCTTCATGTACTAACCATTCACTGGAAAAAAAAAGAAACTTGGGTCAGAAAATGAATTTTAAAAAATCAATGAGTTTACTTTTATTTATTGGAGTGTTTATTTCCCCTCACTAGACTGTAAGCTCTGAGGGTAGAGACTCTCTTTCCATTGTGTCCTTATCACCTAGCAAAGTGCCTGTCATGCTAGCTGTCAGGAAATAAGGAAATATTTGTTGAGTGAGTGGATGATTATTTAGGATAAATGTAATAAGCTTTTTCCTCCCTCCCCCAACAAGAAACAGTTGTCCTAAAAGTGAAGTTGTAATGACATTTGTAAAAAGGGACAGGCCTCTGGGGGCTTTCCCTGCCTCACTTCCCAGTCCCTCTGTCTCTTACTCTGATATAGCATGGTGGTAGAAAAGTATTCATCCTCTTAACCACTCTTTTTTAAAATACATACATTAAAATTTTTTTTCATTTGTTTATTTTTGGCTGCACTGGGTCTTCGTTGCTGTGTGCGGGTTTTCTCTAGGTGTAGCGTGTGGACTTCGCATGGTGGTGGCTTCTCTTGCTGCAGAGCGCAGACTCTAGAGCGCTCAGTCTTCAGTAGTTGCAGCTCTTGGGCTCTAGAGCACTGGCTCAGTACTTGGGGCACACAGGCTTAGTTGCCCCCCAGCATGTGGGATCTTCCTGAACTAGGGATTGGATCCGTGTTCCCTGCCTTGTCAGGCAGGACTCTTAACCACTGGGCCACCAGAGAAGTCCACTCTTCATAACTCTTGTCTATATTTCTCTTCTGAGTTATCTTCAAATTTTGCTTCTCCATCAAGGACCAGATCGGACACCATCTCTGGAGCCTTGCTTAGTATCCCCAACTAAAAGTAAGCTGTCCCCTCACTTGCAGCTTTCTTCATGTTTACTCTATAAATAAGGACTGAGCTTGGTTTTCATTCTCTCTTCCACATTGTTTGTTGTCAGGATCTTTCATGTAATCAGAATTCAATAAATAATTACTGAATTAAGGACTGAATGAGGGTTTGTTGTAGTCTATGTGGGATTTAATAGTAGTATAAACTGTTACATGGAAATTTGTAATTTAAACATGGTGTACCAGTGAAAGAAATAATTATTTTCTGCTTTATTTTATGCCCTCACCTAGTTTTTAATTGTGTATCTTTGAGTCTTTCAATATTTTAGGGGAGAAATGTTATTTAAAACACTTTCTCAAGACTCCCTTTGAGTCTAACTCTTAGGAAAATAACTCCCTCCATCCATGTGTTCCAGTGGCCTTCCAGTGCAGCTGTAAGTGGGGAGGGTTACAGCTTCCTGCAAGGGCCTAAAATACTGAACTGCTATTGAAGACAGCTCCCACCTGCACCTCTGAGCATAAATAGAAGCAGACCCTGATTTGGTGCTGGAATAACATGAAGTTGAAGGCAGACTGGGTGGCCTGGCTGTTGGAGCCAGGATTCCCATTTACATTAAGAGCTGGTTCTGGACCAATTTGAATTATTGACTCATTCAACTCTGCAGAGGGGCTCAGAGTACATCCAGTATCTTGAGACTCACTATTCAACTTGGAAGTCAACCTGTATCACTTTGAAAATTGTCACAGAAACAAGCAGTTGTGGGAAGGTCCTGTAGAATTAAAAAAAGGGCATTGTATAGTGATGCATAATCCCCAGGTAACCTTGTTCTTTACATTTGAAGACTAGCATATAGGGGCACAGAAAACCCCAGTAGCTGCCACTTTCCCATTCCATGCCAAGCTCTGTTGCCTCTCACCTCTGCCCGTTCACTGCAGGGTGCCAGTGTGAGCTTTCAGTGTTTGATGAAACTCTGTGGTATAGACATCAATATAAATCATCTTACGCATTTAATGAATAGTTCTTATACATCTAATTGTTTCCTAGATCGAACTGTTTAATTAATTTTAACTTTTTTATTGAATAATAACATATGTATGGAAAAATCCTAAGTGTGTAACTAGTTAAATTTTCACAGATTTTATTTTATTTTTTTTATTTTAAAGGGTGTTTTGAGAATTAATCCGAAGAAGTTTCATGAAGCCTTCATTCCTTCTCCGGTAAGTTCAATAACTTTATAATAAACCTAATGTCACATTTAATTTTTTGGATGTGCTGTGAAACTGAAATCATATATTCTAACTGAAAAACAGAGTAGTGAAACAGAATTGAAGATGGGCAAGGATTTGTTTCAAATTTAAATAAACAACATTTGCCTTGGGTTGACAGCCCCTTCTGCCAGTCTTAAAAATCACACTTCAAATGAAAGGGATGGCATTTGTTACTGGCTGCAAGGCTCAGCTGAACCCTCACAGACAGCCACCACTTCTTAAAGGATTTATAGGTGTTTCCACTGGTTTAAGTTTAATCTCTCTTAAACAAATATGCTATCTACTTTCAATCTGCTGCATGAGCTAATCTTCAGATTTGTCCAAAAATAATGTGTAATGCTTTTTTTTTTTTTTTTGGTTAGAGTTTCTCACTTCACTTTTCCACAGGTGATAGGACTTGGTACAAGGCTCTTTACTGCTGAGTCTTTATATGTTTTCTTAGTTCATGACTCATTTGAACATGCTCTCTCTGATTAAGGGAAGTTCACTCTGACATCTAATTAGCAGCAGGTCTCTGGATAAGGCTTGATTGTGCAAAGTTGGGAGAGCAGTATTCTTAAACTCTTGACTTATCTTTTCCAGGCTGCCATAAATAGTGTAGCCATAGAAGTAGATTTTTCACAGTGGAAGAGATTATAGGAAGAAACTTTGGCTTCTACATGAAGAAATGGAATACGTGTATTTCGGCTACTGCATTTCATTGTGAGAAATGATGCGTTTAATGAGCATGCAAGTTCAGTCATGTACTCCATAGGTGGTATTGTTATTGTTGTTTTCAGTAACCAAAGACCTATTCCAAAGCTCAGTTTAGTCCTTTTTTCCCTTGCCCATGTCCAGAAGCTCAGGATTCATGTCTGTATCTGAAGTTTAAGTCTTACCACTGGGTTAGATAAGCAGCATCCCATGTCACCTTGTACTCTCGTAGTCATCTTCTGTTCCCATGACAGAACATGGTATGTGTGTACTGACTGTGGTACTTAGATGAGAGAATTGAGTGTTAGCTTTGAGGTAATAGCTTAAAGCAGAGTTACATGGGTGTTAGATTTCAGAGTTTGCTCATAAGGTAAATTCACAGTCAAGAATGATAAAAATTACCCATGAAAACCTCTGAGGAGTATGCAGTGTTGGAGACGGATTAACCGTCTCTCAGAAATTTAGCACAACCAGCATTTTCTCTACATTTGAAAGAAGGATTATTTCTTCATTGGCACACCAGTTGGAGGAGCTCAATTATATGAGGGGCCCCAGTGTGTTAAAAACAGATTTTTAAGCATGAGAATCACACCCAGTGCTGTAAGGAGTTGGCCCTGAGATGTACCTGGTTTCAAATCACCCATCTCCCTGCATATTGAAGTTTGCTCTCATTGATTTGAATGATAAGTGAAGCTACATACAGCATTTTGAAAACTTCACTGCTTGCTTTCTCTCTCTCCTGAGTACACAGTATTGAATTTCTGTAAGTTAGTCTCCTGTGAGGCTGGTTCCTGATGAATGTATGGCCTAGGACCAAAGTACAAGAGGAGGCATGAATACCTTATATTAAATACTTAAAAGTTATATACCAGATAAATAAACTGTTAAGTGAAATATGTTCCTTTGTCAAATATACCTCCATGTACTTTAACTTGGGTTCAAGTGTAGAATTCTCAGACTGCTTGGAGCTTCATGCTGAAAGGCGGCTGCCTGGAGAAGGCCCACCTTTGGCCTTCCCCTCTTCTCTTTCCAGTCCTGGCTCCATGTCCCCTCTTTGCTGCCCTGCGGCCTCCTCCCCACACTCAGTGAAAGCCCTTATCCTCTAGGTGAGCATCTCACCCCACGTGTCCAGCCTCTCCCCATACCCTTTAGACATACCCTCCCGTTAGCCGCCTGTGCTGTGTGTTTGGGAAGACAGATCTGGGGAAGATGCTCATATATGCCCTAGAAGTGGGCTTGGGGCTGATTACAATTCATTTGGTCTTGAGAACTCCTTACCTGATGAGGACGGATGTAGTCAGAGGAGGGCCAGGGCAGGGGTTCTCTGAAGTGTGGGCCTACTTAGGTTCCCTTAAGTTAAATTCATGGGATTTAAATTTGCAAATAATGTGCTGCCGCTGTTTAATCTGGCTTGTTAAAGTTAAGAAGCATAAGTTGATGTTTCAAGAGCTCAAGTTGTTCTACTTGAAATTGTGTTCCTGGCATGTCCTACTTAGAATTTTTTATACAGTTGTGATATTAAGATTGGCTTATTTCTGTACCTCTTTTATTCTCTTATCTGGCCATTGATGGAGTAATAAAATTGTCTCGGAGGGAGGAAAAAGTGCTAAATGACTCACCTCTAAGTAATTAAGAACATAGCATAGGGAGCTTAGCTTGGTGCTCTGTGATGACCTGGGGTGGGGGCATGGTTGGGAAAGGGTGGCCACGAGGGAGGGGATATATGTGTACCTATGGCTGATTGACTTTGTTTATAGCAGAAACTAACACAACATTGTAAAGCAGTTATACTTAAGGAAAAAAAAAAAAGCCCAGTTGTAACTGATTGTAGATAGTCTGGTTTTGGACACTGAAACAATCCTGCATTCCAGTTTTGTGGGTTTTCTGGTCAATTTTAGGTTTTAGAAGCATTATAGAAAACAGTTGAAGGAGGAGATAGTAGGGACAATGAATTACATGCCTCTGTAAATCCATCACTGGTCTAGATTTCTGAGTGTACGTTGCTCATGTCCGTGTCAACTGTGAACTGGTATGAACTGGAAACATGCTCACAGGTAGGCTAGGAGGTGGGCTGTGAGATCAGGGCCTGAATATTACCTGCCCCCTGCTTTACCAGAGAGAATAGAGGTAGGAATTGATAGGAGATATGGCTTCCGCTTTGATAATAAGAAACAGAAAGTTTGCTTAATTATAAAATGAAGGGGTAGACTAAATATTGTCTAATGTTCCTTATAACTTTAAAATTCTGAAGCTTTTTGAGAAACAAAATTAGACTAGCTTTGATGAAATTTACTCTTGTTGACTCTGAAAACAGCTGAGAACTTACACAGTGTCACTTTCTGTGTTAAAATTGCTACGTATGCCAATAGGAACAGTTAATTAATCCTCAGGTATAAAAAAGTACTTTGTTTTGGGAGAATATGTTTTAGGTTTATTATAATTTCTACTGATAGAAAGTTGACATTCATTTTCTTATGACAAACTCAAGATACATACAGAAGACATGTCTATGTGTACCTGCTGGTGTCCTGTTGTTCTCAGTGAAAGTAAGATATAGAATTAGAATGAAATCATGCGTCTTTTTCAAAAAACCCAAGATAAACTGATATTACTGAGATGCTTTTTTATCTTCTTTGGGGATAAGATAAAGAGAAGAAATAGACCAGATGTCAAAACCTGGCTTTTTATTTAAAAAAGCAAAGTTTCAGCTTAGAACTATATTGCAAAAAGTTCTGTACAGCTTTTTTGTGCATCTTATCTTCAAGAGGCACTCTTTGTGTATCTGTAGAATTTATGTTTGGCTCAAAGGAAGCTGTTCTATCGATGGAGGATGTTCTGACCATTATGGAATACTTGGGTTGCTGCCCTACTCCAGCCTCCTAAATACTTAGTTAGAATACCCCCAGATCCCTTTATATTTCTAACAGATTGATCATTAACCACTTCCCCCCGCCGCCCATTCTTTCTGATGGGTAGAGCAAGGCTTACGGCATTCAAATAAAGGACTGAACTCTTTGGCTTTAAAAGGTAATTAGAAGAGATTGACTCAAACTTTTAATTTTGAGCTGCCTGCGAGTATCTTTAAAATAAGATATTCTGCAATAGATGCAGACTTCTGAATGAATCAAATATGAGCTGAGTTGTGATGCATTCTACCCATAGATTTGGATTGTTTGAGATTCAGCTCAGCTCTTCAAACTGCCATAGATAAAATAGGTGAGCAACAAGGATTTACTGTATAGCACAGGGAATTACTGGAGAAGGAAATGGCAACCCACTCCAGTATTCTTGCCTAGAGAATTCCATGGATAGAGGAGCCTGGCAGGCTACAGTCCATGGGGTTGCAAAGAGTCAGATACAACTGAGTGACTAACACTACGTTACACTACAGGGAATTATTATATAATCAATATCTTACAACAACCTCTAATGGAATATAATCTGAAAAAATTACTCAGTCACTATGCTGGATACCTGAAGCTAACACTACAACTCTACTTCAGTTAAAAAACAAACAAACCATGATTTGCTTTCTCTGCTGCTTTCCTGGGGGGCGGGGGTGGGGGGAGGGCAGGGAATATGCCAGCTTCCTTGTAGAGAGCCCAAATCATGGAGCTGGTTGTTGTCCCTGCCCGTGGTTGGTTTTCTTAGGGTATTATGTTGATTTTCTTCTGTCTTCTTTCAAACTCTCTGCTTTTTACCTTTCCCTTTGCTTAAAAAAATTCAGTATAGAAGGGGTACCATCATGCTTTATTTTATTCAAAACAAAAAAGGACAACTTACTCCTTTTGCATTCTGGTTATGAAAGCTTGCAATCCTAGTTTTTTGCTTTATATATTTTTGTTTTTGACCTGTTTATAGTAGATCTCTTATTTGGTGATTTCTTTTTAGAATTATGTTAACCTGCTCTTATGTGTTTATCACCAATTCTATTAGTTCCAAAGAGACTGAACTTCCTCTAGGTCTGTTTGTGGCTAAATAGCAATACCAGTGTTCCTGTTAAGTCAGCGGGCAGATTTTAGAGTCTACAGTTTGTAAGCCAAGGGAGTTATTTTTGATTCCAAGCCTTGGTAAGCTGACTGTTAACATTCCTTTCTCCAACCTAGGATGGTGATCGAGACATTTTTATTGATGGCGTTGTTGCTCGTAATAGAGCCTTGAATGGGGATCTGGTGGTCGTGAAGCTGCTTCCAGAGGAGCAGTGGAAGGTGAGTTAAGTTTTCCTCTTACAATTAGAGACTTCTCAGGGGCTTTTGCATTCCACAGTGCATCAGCGAGACAGCATAAGCTGACGCAGTCCCAGACCCCTCAGGCCTTTGGTTGCCTTAGAAGCAGGGACATAGCTTCATTGGATGGGCACACACCTAATGATTTGAGTTCTCCTTGTTCCCTCCCCTGTGATCTGTCTTCCCTCTTGCATGCTTTGCATTGGTTTCTGGTAATTTTTAGGGTAGAAGAAAAGCTTGCAGGGGACATTCAAACCTGATAATGTATTGTTATCCAACATTTAATGCTGGGGGAACTGGGAAGACAAAGCCATAGGGATGGTGGCAGTCTTCACATATTCCTGATGCCTTTCCTGGAAAACCCAGGCAGCACATGTCTAGTTCTCTGATGTCCAGTTTGGTGGTTGGGCTTCCCTTGGCAGACAAAAATAGACTGTGTATTTTTATAAAACAGAGATTTGATAGCAGATGAAAATGTTGTTAATATGAGAATATTCTGGGTTTTAGTTTCCATCTATGTCTGTCAATTGAAAAGGAAGATTTGCTTTCGTTTTGACTACTGTTTTAAATAAGGGTCAGACACTAGAATGATTCATAGCAGCAGTTTCTTTTTAATTGTATAAAACTGGTAACATATATCTAAATATTAATTTTTCTTCCTAGCATGCTTTATATCCCATCTTTTATTTTATTTGGCTCAGTTTATTGCTACTCGAGATTTTGGTGTCTTCTTCAGTGAGAGGTATTAAAGCAAAGTGATTAATAGAGTGGGCTTTTAGGCTAGGCTACTTGGGTTTGCAGCTCATCTTTGCCATTCACCTGTATAACCTTGGGTGAGTTATATAACCTCTCTGTGCTTCATGTGCCTCATCTATAGATTGGGAATAATCATAGTACCTACTTCATAGGTTTGTCATATGATTAAATGGGAATATATGAAAAAATCTTAGAATAGTTCTTGACCCATGGTAGCAACTCAAGTTTTTATTATTAATTTTTCCAGGAATGTGGGAAGTACTACCTTATCTCAGAGCTTTGTTGAGGCATAAATTAAATTCTTTTTTGTTATCTGATAAGGCTTTAGTAATTGAGTAAGAACTATGTGTCAGGGATTTGTAGGGTGCATGGACATTAGTAATGATCAAGATGGACATAGTTGTTGCTCTCCTGGAGTTTTTAGTCTGGTGGGGATTGCAGCTAGAAAGAGACAGGTACTACTTACACTTATTTGAATTTAAGAATAATTTTGATTGATTGAAGTTAAATGCAGAGAGTGAATTATGCTAGTCCAGATCTTCGTCTCCACCCTGTCCCCAGCTCCCATTCCTCTGCTGTGATGTGCTTAGTCCCTCAGTTGTGTCCGACGCTTTGCGACCCCATGGACTGTAGCCCCCCCAGGCTCCTCTGTCCATGGGGATACTGCAGGCGAGAATACTGGAGTGGGTTGCCGTGCCCTCCTCCAGGGAAGCTCCCATCCCTGGTTGCTGCCAGTTGTGCACAGTCTCCTTCCTTGATTCCTTGAAAGCACCAACTAAGGGTTGGCTCCAGGTCCTAGGAATATAGATTGATTTAGGTCATTTCCTCTTTTCTTGAAAGCATCATCTAGCACAGTGTTGACCAGGTTTAAGATGACAGGAAGAGTGCATTACAGTCTGGTCCAAGCAGAGGAAGTATTTTTAGAGATTATTAGAGAGCTCTATAGGCAGCCTTATAGCAAACAGGCAGCTTTATAGTAAAGGTAAGCCAGAGAAGGAACAAGAAAGATGAGGTCTCCTAGCTGTTCCATTCCTGGATATTTACCTTAGAGAAATTAAGGTATTTGTTCATATAAAGATTTATATATGAAAGTTCATAGCAGCTTTTTTAGTGATAGCCCCAGACAGATTGGAAACCATCCAAATGTCCATAAGCCCATCAACCAATTTTGTTATATCCATTCAATGGAATACAACTTGACTGGTAAAAAAAATTAATGGTATTGACTGATCTATGTAATATTTAACCTGGGTGAATCTCAAAATAGTTGTGATGGGTAAAAGAAGCTAGACAGTACACACTCTATGATTCCTTTATATGACTAGAAAATGCAGACTAATTTATAGTGACAAAAGGCAAATCTTTGGTTGCCTGGAGTGGGAGCAGGAGAGATGGATTACCTTAGGGCCCCAAAGAGACTTTTGGGGGCTATAGGCATGTTCATTTTCATGATGGGATAGTTTCATAATTACTGTATGTTAAGACCAATCAATTTGTGTACTTTAAATATATGTAGTTTATTGAATGTCAGTTATACCTCAATAAAGCTGTAAAAAATGCTGAAAATGAAGAAACCAGTGAATGAAATAAGATATTTGGACAAATGAGCCTGGAGCTTCAAGAAGAGCTTGAAGCTGGAGATGTCAGTTTGGGAGTCATCAGCCATATAGTGAATGAGGTCACCTGGAGAGTGTAGCTGAATAATGGGTTTTGGGGAAAGCCAACATTTAGAGGTCAGCAGGAGGATCTTTAGAGGTCAGCTGAAGAGTCTGAAGAGAGGACTCTGTCCCTGATAAAGTGGAGTGTGACCCATGATGGTTAAATCCACTTCTGCCTGGTTTAGAGAAAAGGCTGATGCATTCTGAGGTTGCAAGGGGCAAAGGTCTAAGTGAAATGGTATCAACACACTCAGGTGCTCATAATCCTTGTAACCTACTTGAATCTGGGGAGGCATTTTTTGATCTACCTTGCTTGATAACTTTTTCAGCCCTCTTGCTGGCAAGAGGAAGCTTCATGGAAGAAGTCAATATACCTTTAGCCCTTAAGCATGGAGGAGGAAGATGTTTAGTGAAATCTGTTCTCAGGATTAAGCATAGGAAGCCAAGTCCAAAGAGGGGCAGTCAGGATCTTTTGAAATCCTTTTAGCTGTCATTTGTAATGTTCCTCCTGTATTATTTCCACAGTGTAAAAATTGCTTTTCAGTTAGCAGTTTGCTGTTGTTTAGTTGCTAAGTCACGTCCGACTCTTTTGGGACCCCATGGGTTGTAGCCCACTAGGCTCCTCTGTCCATGGGATTCTTCAGGCAAAAATACTGGAGTGGGTTGCCATTTCTTTCTCCAGGGGAATCTTCCTGACCCAGGGATCGAATCTGCATCTCCTGCCTTGCAGGCAGACTCTTTACCACTCAGCCACCAGGGAAGCCTGCACTTCTTAAAGTGCTAGTGGTCCTTGTTTATCCTCTTTGTTGTCCACTCTTAATCTCTTTAATAGCAGTCTTGCAGTGAGAAATACTGCAGAGACTAGAGGGGACCATGGCATCTTTCAAGTCAAAAGAAAAGTAGGCTGAGTCCCTAAATCTTGGGTGCTAGGTATTGGCTGAGACCCCAGGAATTGTGCTAGAGCTTAATTGTAGAAAAGCCTCTGATGATTTTCTTACCAATGCCTACGACTTGCGAATCAGCACAGAGAGAGGAACTTTGGAGCTCTCTTGGCCCTGGAGGCTGCCTTCAGAGTTACTGGCAGGTAGGCCAGGCAGCTCATCAAGAATCATGGTAGTCGCTGCCCTGTGTGGGAATGCTTTCTAGGCAGATGCGTAGAGGGGAGTCTGGAGAGGAGTGGTATTCATGAAGGAGGTTTGCAGAGCAAAGCTAAGAGTAGCTGTGTTCTGTTTGAGAAAGTTGGATGCGAGAATATCTCATTAGAACTGAGGCCAATCCTGTAGGCCAGTACTTATCTCTAAGCTGCAAATGATTCAGCCCAGGGATTTTGTTAAAATGTAGACTCTAATTCAGTAGATCTGAAGTGGTGCCCCAAATTGTGCAAGGCTCTAGTCAACATTGGTGCTACTGGTTCTGGAACCACACTGAGTAACAAGGATATACTATGTGACTCAAGAGGGAAAAAGAAAGAAGTTAGGGAGCTGGGGCTGAACTCTCTGGACCTAGGATCTGAGACTTGATTGGCGGAAAGATAGCTGAGGGAAGAAATGTGAACTGTAACACCTTGTGGCTGGGCTATGGCCTCCCCTGGGATGCTGGATCCTTTATTAATGATCTACTTTTGAGCAGAGATTGTCATGGATACACAGAAAGGTCTAGACTGGCAAGGGGGACCCTACCCTTGGAGTTGCTGCTAGAAGTAGAGTTGGGGCAATGACAGAGGATCTGTCTGCCTGGGTATGTGTGTAGGCCCTCTTGGGCTTTCAGAAGATTTGAAGTGTAGACGGTGGCTCAGGGCTCCTTACCTGTTCCATTTCTTTGGAGTTTCTAAGGGTCTTCACAGTGGCTGCTTGACAACTGCATTTTATATTAAAGTCAGCCCCGTCTGCCTACCAGTGTAGGAAATGCAAGAGACGCAGGTTTGATTCCTGGGTCAGGAAGATCCCCTGTAGTAGGAAATGGCAATCTGCTCCAGTATTCTTGCCTGGAAAATTCCAGGGACAGAGAAGCCCGGCAGGCTCCAACCCATGGGGTTGCAAAAGGGTCAGGCACAGCTGAACGACTGAGCACACACACACTATTTGCAAGTATTTTACAACTTCCCCTTCTGAAGAGGGGAGTTCTGTTGGCTATAGCCCACCTGTGACAGTTGTTGGTGACAGGGTCAAATGAGAGAGAAGAGAATATTCAGACTGTCATCAAGAATCCCTGACATGTAGAATATAAACATCTCACAGCATACTGGCCAATTGTATTACAGGTTTTTTAGTACAAAAGCATATTGTTATCAGAGGAATCTGTAGTCAATGGTGTGAGCAAATGTGAATTAATTGGATTATTCATCTTTGCTTCTTTATGCTTGTTGTGCAAACCCCTCTTGGGTATGTAAACAACAGTTCTTTTCGCTGTAGTAGTAAATAGTCAATTTATTTCTCAGCATGTTTTTTGGCAAAATAGATAGCTGTGAAAATATCAAGCTGTGGAGCAGTAATAAGAAATAATTTGCTCTTATATAACTATTTTGATTTCAGAATTCCTCCATGCTTTTAGTATGTATCTGTATTCTTT